GTATTTAGGCTTCTCATCAAAAAATTCTACAAAGTAAATCTATATCTAATATTTTTTAATAATGTAAAACCTATGTCCAAAATCAACATGAAAAATAGTTAAACTACCCTTTTGTCTGACTAGCAAGTAAATAGTTAAACCATTGGCATCAAATGGGTTAACCAATGTTCTCATAGTTAAATAATAAAAAATAAAAAATAAATATAGAAATATAGAAATGAATATTACAAAATTATAAAACATTTATGAAAAAAATTAGGCACATCTCTAATATTACCTATCTATCATATCAAACAACATTAGTTATGCTATAAAAGTATTTTTATTCCATGGAAATGAAATACAAGATTTAAAACTAACCCCAAAAAAAAACTATTTCCCTATTCAAGTGGTGGGTCAATGATTCCACCTTTTAGGTCAAATGGATCAATCCATGACATCATAAATAAATAATAAAAAATTAAAAAAGATAGAGACACAAAAATTCTTAAAAACATAGAATTTTTGTAAAAAACATTTGGGTGCATCTTTAATATTATGTATTCATTATATTAAACAATAAGTGTGATAGATAAGAGTTACTTTTATTAATGAAATAAATAGAATTAAAAACTACACTAACTTAAAAAGAAAATTGTTTTTGCATCTAATTAACGGTCAATGGTCGATAGCATGGTTTTTTAAAACGACCCGGAGACCGAATCGGTCAGGGGTCCGATTACCGGGTCAAACGGTCTGCTGATTCTGACAAAAAAAATTAAAAAATAAAAAAACGGCCCAAACCGTTCAAACGGTTAACCGCCCGGGTCAGTGGTTTGTTGACCAAAATCAACGATTTTGGGGAAAACCGAAACCGATCACCTGATCGGTTCCCGATTTTTCTGGTTCGACCGTCTGATCCGATCCGGTTTTGAAAACTATGGTCCAAAGAAAGACAAATTAGGTGGGCTTAACTTGAGCTCGAATCGAGCTAGCTAATTTTAGGCATGCTAGCTTCAATTTTCAGTCATTGACTTGGGCCTAGGCCAAACTTCAAAAGTTTGGAGTTTTTTTATTTTTGGGCCCAAGCCCATCCCTTAAGTAGTTAATACATACAATCATAAAAGCATATATAGCACATATTTGCATACATGCATGTATATACAATTATACACATATTTTATAACAAAATTTGTCATAGGGCTAATTGATAAACCCAAGTGCATCAAATTTCAATGTAGGTTGGAGGTTGGACTCAAGTTAAATAGATTAGATTTTACTTTGGTTTAAAGCCTTGGGCTTGATGTACAGGGTTGGGCCTGGGTTAAGCTTAAGTTTAGCCCAACTTACTTGACTTGCACCATAATGGTCCAATTGTTTGCGTAAGTGGGTTAACCAATGGAATAAAAAACAAAAAACAAAAATACATAAAATTTATAGAAAATTTTGAGATTTTTAAAATATTATAAACTTATCATATCAAACACTATGTGATAAAAAAGAATTATTTTTAAAATAAATTATGCAAATGGAATAAAAAAATTTAAAGTCGCCCAAAAATGAGATTGCATTTTTTCAAGTCAAATAGGCCAATACCAAGGTTGAAAGTATTGGAAATGCCAAGTGTATCGGAAAGGCAATTTTAAGAGACGTATCGAGATATGCCTTGGATACGCATGCATATTGGAGAAAAACTAAGATACACATGGATATGCTTGAAAACACTATAAATACTTTAATAACTCATAAAAATACATCAACAACACTAAATATAAGACCTCGATGAGGTGTATATACATTAAATTAATATATTGTAATGGTTTTATGAAAAAATATATTATAGCTAATTATAATTTTATTAAAAATCTTATGCTTAACTATAATTTATAAATTATAATTCTAAAGTTTTAATGTTTTATGGGATGAAAAAAACCAAACTCTCATATCCAACCATAAAACATGCATTGGCATAACTTTTATGTGAAAATATAATTAATAATTATTTATTATTTATTATTTATTTCAAAAATTATAAAAAATAAATAAACATTATATAATATATTCAAAAAATAGTTATTAAAGAAGAAATTTTAATTGCTTTGTGGATATGATAGATCATTCATATAAGTATAATATATTCAATTATTGTGATCAAATGTTAAAATATAATTAATTAATTATTTATTTTTAATTCTAAAAATATAAAAATAATTATTAAAGAAGAAATTTCAATTGGTCTRTGGATAYGATAGATCATCCATAKAATTATAATATATTCAATTGTTGTGATCAAATGATAAAATATAATTAATTATTATTTATCTTTTTAATTTTAATAATATAAAAAATCAAAAAAAATATTAAAGAATAAATTTCAATTGCTCTATGGATATGATAGATAAATCCATAGATCTAAAACATGTTTAGTCTTCATAGTTAGAGAAAAAATAACATTTTCAATTTTTTTGTTAATTTACATTTTCCCCAATTATCTTCATGAAATTTCCATAAATTTACTAGTAACACAAAAAAAAAATTGTGATTTTGAATGTAAGAAATGTAGATCAACATAAATTTAAACATTCAAGAAAAAAAATCACAAGATATTATAAAATATTGAAAAAATTACCTATTTTTGCCTTATTTTTTCAAAATTTGAGAAATATTTAAAAAAAATAACGATTCACGCTTGTTTCTTGCAAACTTTTGCAAATTTAGCACTCTAGGAATGAAGTTTGGAGTTTTAGAGTCATTTGGGGGTAAAAGAAGACTTATTTCATGAAAAAAAACTTGCTTTCCCTCTTTATTTTTTTTTCAGTTTTTGGTCGTATCTTTTTCATCGATACGCTACCGATACGCCTCGATACACCCCGATACACTTCAATACACCCCCGATATGGGTCCAATACGCATGAAAAAAGATGAAACCTCCAATTTCCATGTGTATCCTGTATCGATTTTTCAAAGATATGATACAATACGATATGCCCCATATCGGGTGTATCATATCGAAATTTTAAACCTTGGCCAATACATGGTGTCTTAATTATATAATAAAAACTCAAAAAATATATAGAAATAAAAAATAGAAAACATAAAAATTTCTCTATAAAATTTGTGTACATCTCTAATATCATATATTTATTATATTAAACAAAAATAAATATAAGAAATAAGAAATGTTTTTATTAATGAAAATAAAATTTTAAATTTAAATACCCCCAACACACCATGCTTTTATTACTTATTTTCAATTACCATGTGCAACGCATAGATATATATTTACTAGTTCCATAAAATAATTGTAAGGCCAATTATGTTTTATATATAAAAAAAATAAATATGACAATGTAATTACAAAGATGAATGAATAAAAAAACTAGAAATTAATCAAAACCTTTAATCTGCTAGAAACCCTTAAATTTAAATAAATTGACATCTTGGTGGGGCAACAGACACAAATCAAAACCTTTAATCTACCCTGAAGTTTTCTTACAATTAGTTAAAGTACCCCCTGTAGAGTGAAGTTATATGACAAATACTTCCCTTGTGTAATTGTCCGTCCCAGCTGTTGGAATGTGACATCCTGACTCTTTTAATGTTCTGCTCTTTTCCGGTCAAAACAGAATTTCGACATGTCAAACTCTGAATTCAAAAGAAAAGAATCTTTTGATTGTTCTCCTCTGTTATGGCCCCTGCTTCAAGACTTGTATGCGTTAGAGGATTTCCATTTAAAAGATCCCAGAATTCTGTGGCTATCCTTATTATTGAAACTTGAAAGGAGATGCTGAGATGTCAACTATGACTGTGTGGAAGCTGCCGTAGTATGTTTTTAGAGTGGTGTATACAGTTTGTTCTGTTTTGAAGAAGGTTAGGCAGAACCTCTTAAACTAACATGCTTTGAATTTGAATCCAAGAAGAAACTGAAGAGGATAATCAGAGAATAATAATGATGCAAAGTAGGGCAGCTGAGCATATGGATATGATCTGTTACTGGTAGCTACAGTATAATGGAAGATTTATCCTGCACGAAGTAGGAAGATTTTCCATGGAGAGGAGCAGGATCCAAATGGGGTGCTGCAATTTCCTTCGACTTCACCGAAGAATCCCTGAAACTATTGCTTATCAGTCACCTTTACAATGAGGAACCAGACCGTGGAGCTACCATGGAAGACATGTTCAAGCTTGATTGATGCTTGAGCAATGGTTCAAAGTGTCGACTGTGTAGATTTTTTCTATTAGGAGAAATGAAAATTTGATTTCTCATAATTTAAGCTGCTTTCTTCTGAATAGTTGAAGGACATTCATTAAATGGGAAGGGCCAGAAGCTGTAATCTCTGCCTATTAACAAAATTTGAGGATAGAAATCTACTAATGTAGGAGACGTTGAGATAAAGGGTGTCTGAGACTGGCTTGGATTCTCCTGCAACCTCAACCAACCATCTCCTAGTAGAGAAAGGGTGTCCTTTCTCCACCTACTAGAGAAACATTGTATGTGAATTGGCATGAACCATATGCAAATCCAATCATGGCAATAAACGATAAACCCATAAAACCATCTCCTACATGAAGCAACAACCGGAATGCAAAATCACAAATGCCGAAACAGTACTAAAAGAACAACCAGAACTCCATACGGAGATAGAGGTAGAAATCATCTCAGTTGGGGATCATCGGAATCCGCGTCAATGCTCGACACCACCGGTTCCTATTCCTTCTTCTTCAATCCTAATTCGGGCTCCTGGGTTCAAGTTTGAAAGGCGATTCAATACAAAGCTCGATATATTCATGAACTTTGATCGGCGATGGTCAATGGGCATCTTGGGTTTTGATATTAGAAAATTTAAAGAATAATCAAGGGCAAAATGGATTTTTCATTCTGTCTATCCATTTTAATCCAATTTCATGAAGAAGTTTCCAAAACCTCAGGGGTATTTTTAAGTAATTTCTTGAAACAGAATACTTTATGTATTTGTCAGAAATACAGGGGCAGTTTACATAATTTCCCTCCCTTTGTTTTTGTTTGATCGTTGGGAAGTCAGGGAGTTGGCTTTGGGCACAAGCATCCGAACTACCGATGGCAGTAGGTAGGCCAGGCAGTGGCAGATCGTCGTGGACAAGCGAAGGTGGTGATGAGAGAATTTATTAATTGGATAGAATTGTTGTATGATTGATAGGAAAAGAAAATGGCGGGAGTGGGAGGAGTTGGAGGAGGAGAAATGCAAAGAGCACACGCAGCAATGGCGATGGTGCAGCTGTTCAATGGGGGATACCATGTAATCACCAAGGTTGCTTTGAACGTGGGTATGAATCAGGTCGTGTTCTGCGTCTTCCGCGATGTGCTCGCCCTCTCCATCCTCGCCCCTGTTGCCTATTTCCGTGAAAAGTTAGCCTCTCTCTCTCTCTCTCTCTCTCTCTCTCTCTCTGTATGTGTGTGTGTGTTTCTTTCCGTTGTAATTATGTTGTTTGTATTCATAAGCTTCTCTTTTCAAGGTCCAATTACTCGGCTTCTTTCTCTCAAATTAATTTAAGTAATTCATGTTAAAATCTATCTCTATGTAAATTGAATTATGTATGGGTGCTAATATAGTGAGGATCTGCTAAATTAGACTTCTTTTGACATCTAACTAGTAGTTCTTTCGCTTTTTTCTAAGAACTATATTTGAAATAATGGATGCCCTTTTTAGTGTATCAATTAATCAGATGGTTAATCAGCATATTCATAAATTGGATTAATCTGTAATTCTGTATATATGCATTTGGAACTTATAGCTGTTACTGTTTGCATAAGTAAATTTCCCCTTATTCCATTTCATGGTCATGAAAAAGCCCCTGATTATTTTAGTGGTGGGGGAATCATAAAACAGAGCAAATTAAATATTTAAAATTCGAAAGGAAGCTGAAAATATAAATAATATTTTCTTACCTCCAGTGTTTTAGGCTTTGAGTCCTGAAAAATTAAACTTATACCATAATAATATTAGTTGAACTTGTGCTGCCATGGGCATTTCTTAAATCGCCACTTAAAAGTTCCATGTGCATGGATGCATTAGCTTGTCAGACATAATTAAATGGAATCTTCCATTGGCAATACCAAAGAAAATACCCTTCCTAGTATAGGCTAGTTGGCCAAATATTTGGAGATGGAGTCGAGATTTTTTCTTTTTTTCACTACAAGAAATGGAGTTGAGAAATTAAATTCTTCAATACTAGTCTATGAAATCATGAGGCATGGAGGAGTTAGGTAATTAAGTCCTCTATTCAATCGAGACCATATGAACCAAGTTCCTTGGATTGTTGACTACAAGGTGCTGAGAGATCCTTCCTTATTCCATGAGTAATGTTTAGAATGAAAATGTAATTCCCTTATGCAACAGTATCGATTATTGACTGTCCTTCTAACTCTGCCATGTGCTAATTTTTCCTGAGTTTTTAACTGAACATCTGTTGTTATTGATGGCATAACTACTGGCATTAATCACTGTTTCGTGAGCTCATCTTCTCTTGTCTTTTCAGGAGGGTCAGAACACCAATAACTATCCGGCTTCTCATGTCATTATTCTTTCTTGGGTTAACTGGGTAAAACTCCTATAACTTAAACATGCTATTTGCATAATGTATTTAATTTATAATCATTTGAACTGAGAAGATGCCCTTTTGATTGATCTGTATGCTTTGATTGTTTTCTTCTTAACATTTGAACAGGATATTTGGCAATCAGCTTTTATTTCTTATTGGTCTTAAGTACACAAATCCAACTTATGCGGCAGCCATACAGCCTTCAATTCCTGTCTTTACATTTCTGTTGGCTGCAATGATGGGGTGAGTGTGATGAATCTCTACTCATTTCTGATTTGATTATATTTTCATATTGTTATCTTGAAGATTCTTGGTTGTTCAGTATGATAAGAATTTTTACCATGCAGTACAGAAACAGTGAATTTGGCCACAAATGAAGGCCAGATGAAGATCGGTGGCACACTTGTTTGTGTTTCTGGAGCCACTTTAATGGTTTTATTCCGTGGTCCAGCTGTATTTGGGTACTCTGGATTGGATTTTGGAATGCAAAGTGAGATAAGTGCAAAGGCTCAACTAGAGCCTTCTGGATGGTTGACATCTAGTCTACTGGAGTTTGGGCTTCAACCATGGCACATTGGTGTGTTATGTTTGATAGGGAACTGCATGTGCATGGCAGCTTATTTAGCCATACAGGTATTTGAAACTTATTTTAAGATTAATCTGCCTTTAGGTAGACAATCTTTTGAAAACAAAAAGATGCAAATAGTAATCACCATTAAGAAGGTTAGATTGATTTAGAAGGGTTTAGTTTCCGTATTAATAGATTACTGTGAATATATCATTTTAAAGAAGGTAAGTTATTAGTTCATACCTTCAGATTATCAGTTAGAATTAATTTCTACTTGATACTTGATATTGATCTCCATTTTAGCCAAGGAAAAATGACCTTTCAGTTCTAATCTGAGAATGAACCATATGAGAGATGGTTCAGTATGGAATTAGTATATATATGTACATGTATGTCCTAAAATCTGATAAGTCGTGGAAGAATCTTCCTTATCTTAGGTTGTGCAAAACTTTGGAGTGTGAAATTAGGTTTTTAGGAGTGGATTTTTACTCTATGGAAGTGACTGCATTAGGACATTGGAGAGGATGAGAATGACTTTCTATAGGATCTATCACTATATTGGAAATGGTGGAAGTCAAAATATTATGATTTATGATATAATTCAGTTTTAAATCATGAATCCAATGGCTTTGATTTGAATATGATGCCTAAATCCTTTTATGTAAAACCTTACAATTATTGTTTGAATCATATGATTCAATGTATGAATCTCACTATTTATATGATTCATGCAATTTTAATCAATTCACTTGATACTCTGTTCTCTACTTTGCCATTTCCATGTTTCTTTAAATTTTTTTAGGTTACTTAAGAGGTTTTAGAAACCATATCAAGTTTATTTTCCATCATACATCAGTTAAAGAGCCATTTTATGTGCATTAGTTCTCTTTCAAGTCGAACTTAATTTTATCATCTTAGGCTTTTAATGTACAAGTAGTAAACTCTATTATTTTAAGTGAATATATGGTAGATATATAATAAAAATGTTTAGGAATCAATTCTTGTTTATTTGAAGAATGCTTTATTGTACAAATATGACATTTACTGTTGCAAAATATTTCAGTCTACAGTTTTAGTGAAGTATCCGGCCAGCCTTTCACTGACAGCATACTCATATGCTTTTGGTGCTTTTCTTATGGTAATTGTGGGACTTTTATCAACCAATGCGTCTACAGACTGGAGCTTGACACATTCTGAGTTACTTGCAGTCTTATATGCTGTAAGTCCTTAGTCACTGTTATATTTTGGGTCAGAAGCTAGCTAAATTGTGTTTGACTTCTCTGGTTATTCTAGCTGACTTGGAAAAGATGTTAGTGTAATCGGTTTGAATATGCTTGATGTATGGATTACATTTATTTTTCTTTTTTGACTACAGTGTAATGGAGACAACTCTGTTTGAGTAACAGCCTTTCCCACCTACTTAGGTAATTGTAATAATTAGCATTATATTGGTTCTTATTTGTTGACCATGTGATACAAGAGCACTCCAGGGAAAGGAGCTCCTTTAGTCCTTATAATCCAATGAAAAAATAAGAGAAGCAGAGAAGAGAAGAGAGGAAGAAAGAAAGAAGAGAGAGAATTGAATGTTTAAAATTCAAAAAAGACAGGCTTTCAGTGCCCTTATTAATATTTATATTAGGGTCACATCACTAAAACATAACATAAAGTAAAAAAGACATTTCTACCCCTGTGGCAACTCTATTATAACACTCCTCCTAAAGTTGGGCTATAGATGTCAATCATACCCAACTTGTTACATATTTCACTATGCCATAGAGTATTGAACCCTTTTGTGAGGACATTAAATTGCTCTTTTGTGTTAACATATTGAGTGCACACCTCTCCCTTCTCAATGTTTTCCCAAATAAAGTGCTTATTGACTTCAATATGCTTAGTCTAGTCATGGAAAACTAGATTAGCCACTATTTGATAGCTACTTTATTGTCACAATACAAAGACATAGGCCTACTTACTGCAAATCCAAGTTCTCCTGGGAGGTTCTTCATCCATAGTACCTCAGCTACTCCATGAGCCATAGCTCTATACTTAGCTTTAGTACTTGATCTAGCAACAACCCCCTACAAAGGTGCAGTAACCAATTGAAGACCTTCTGTCATCAACTAAGCATTACCTAATCAGCTTTTGTGTAGACCTCAACTCTCAAGTGGTCATGTTTAATAAGCAATAGACCTTTACCAGGATGTTTCTTCAAGTACCTAAGAACCCTTTCCGCTGCTGCAAGGTGTGATGTTTTGAGGGCATGCATTATTGGCTAAGAACTCCAAGAACATAGGCATTATTTAGACAGGTCATGCATGGATATAACAACCTGCCAATCAGCCTCTGGAATTGTTTCACATATTCAAGTACTTGTCCCTCATCACTTCCAAGCTTGTGATTTTGCTCTATGGGAGTATTAGTTGATTTGGCCCTTAGCTTTCCAATATCTTGTAGGAGATCAAGAACATACTTCCTTTGAGACACGGAAATTTCCCCTTTCAAGTGGGCCACTTCAATTTACGGAAATAACGGAAAGACCCAAATCCTTCACTTTAGAGGATAAGAACATTTTCAATCTCTTAATCTCTGTCTCCCAATCACCAATAACAACAATGTCATCTACATACACAATGAGTAACAATTTTTTTCTACTTTACCTTTAACAAACAAGGTAATATTTGACTGGCACTATTTGAATCCAATCTACTAAACCACCTTATTAAATTGGATAAACCAGGCATGTGGGGACTGTTTTATTCCATACAAAAACCTTTTCAGCTGACATACCTTATGTTCGCTACCTTAATGTGGAAGCTCAGTGGTTGAACCATGTATACCTCCTCCTCCTCCAAATTTCTATTGCGGAAAGCATTTTTAATGTTTAGTTGATGGAGACTCCAGTCAAAGTTTATAACTAAAGAGAGAAGCACACTATGGAATTCATCTTGGCTATTGGGGCAAAGGTCTCAACATAGTCAACTCCATAAATCAGTGTGAAGCCCTTTGCAACAAGCCTCACCTTCTACCTTTCAACTAACCCATTAGCCCGATGTTTTATTGAAAACTCATTTGCACCCTATTGGTTCTTTTCCCTTGGGCAAATCCACAAGTCTCCACATTTTATTATTTTGGGAAGAGGATCCATTTCTTCCCTTATAGCATCTATCCACTCAGGCATGCATAGTTGAAACTTCTGAAACATTCTTAGGAATTGAGACATTAGAAATGGTAGATAGGAAAACACAATATAAGGGTGAAAGATGCTTGGAGGAGGTGAAGTCAGCAATGGATTGTTTAGTAGTACATGCATGTACACCTTTACGTTTTGTAATGGGGAGATCAAGATCATTCATAGGATAGAGACATCAAAATAGAATTAGGGGTGTCAGTAGGAACAAACATTCTTGATTGAGAAGGACAAGTGCTATCTTCTAGGTTTGCCTCCTAAGAGTTTGGCAGTGTTGGTTGTATGGTTTTTGATCCCTCCACACCTTCTTATCTTGACTTATTTGCACGATGCCATTTACAAGAGAACATGTGAGGGATAAGTAAAGCAATTTTCCAACTAATTTCTGATATCTCTCTTTGTCAGGATATAGTTCTCCATCCTCTTCCTATAGCCCATGATTTTGCTCTATAGGAGTGTCTGCTGGTTTGGCTCCTAGCTTCCATGTCTCTTTTAGAAGGTCCAATGCATACTTCCTTTGGCAGATGTATATTCCCTCTCTAGATCTAGCCACCTCTATTCCCAAGAAATAATTTAGAAGTCCCATATCTTTGATTTCAAGCTCCGAGGCTAAGAAGTTTTTCAACTTTCGAATCTCATTTGAATAATTTCTCGTAACAACCATATCATCAACATAAGTAATCAATGTTGTTAGTTTTCCTTCACTTCTTTTATAGAACAACGTGTGATCAACATTGCTCTGCTTGTACCCAACAACCTTCATTGCCTTGCATAATCTTTCAAACCAAGCCGTTGGAGGTTGTTTGAGGCCATATAAGATCCTCCTTAGCTTGTATACCTTTCCTCTCATGTCATACCCTAGAGGAGGGTCCATGTAGACTTCTTCTTGTAGATCTCAATTTAAGAAAGCATTCTTAACATCTAACTGATGTAGTTTCCAAGAAAAATTTGCAGCAAGAGAGAGTAACACTCGTATAGTAATGGGAGGAGCAATACCTTGGCCGGAATCTAAAGTTCCTGATTGGTTGTAGCCATTTACTGGTAGGTCTCTCTTTCTCTCCCTATGATAAACACTTAGCTGCCTTTCATCATCAAGGTCATCATTACGGTCAGGACCAATTTCCTCAGAACAAGTAGTACCACAATTCACTTGTAGTCTCCACTGGACAAGAGAAAGAAGGTTCAACATGAGGAGCGTCTGAGGAAGAAGTAGGAGAGGTAAGAGCTGAGACAAAAAGGTTATCTTTTGAGGAAGTCTCTTCCACTCCACTAGTCTCCCCCTGAAAAGGATTTCGAGGAGTCTCAAAGAAGGACTGTGATTGACGAAAGGTGTCATCCTTGGTGATGAACTTCCTTCCAGTAGTTGGATCAAGACATTTATATCCTTTTTGGGTAAGAGAATAACCCAAGAACACCCCATGGGTTGCCTTTGGGTCCAACTTTGTTCATTTAGGATCACTAACTTGAATAAAACATACACAACCAAAAACCTTAGGAGGTAAAGAGAACACAACTTGCTTTGGACACAAGACAGAAAAAGGGGTTCTCATCCCCAAAACCTTGGATGGCATTCGGTTGATGAGATAAGGAACTATCAGAACAGCATGAGACCAAAACTTCTTTGGGACCTTGCTTTGAATCATTAGAGCATGAGTAGTCTCAAGTAAATGTCTATTCTTCCTTTTTGCAACTCCATTCTGTTGTGGCATATAAGTACATGATGACTGATGTAAGGTCCCTTCATCTTCAAAGAACACATTTAGAAAACTCTTGAAATATTCAGCTGCATTATTTGAACGGGACTTGACCTTCTTTCCAAACTGTGTCTCAATCATCTTACAGAACATCATAATGATTCTAGGTACTTCTTCTCTTTCGTTCATCAAATAAATCCAAGTGTATCTTGTAAAGTGATCACCAAAACTAATGAAATACCGGTATTCATCCATGGAAATAATGGGTGAGGGACCCCAAACCTCAGAATGAATTAAATCAAAGGAGCATTAACTTCATTTTTGGAACTTGGATAATTTGTTCTACGATGCTTAGATATTTGACACACATCACAAAAAAAGGCTTTTAAAGGACACCTTCTCAAACAACTTTGGAAACAAGACTCTCAACAATGAAAAAGACAAGTGACCCAATCTGGCATGCCAGAGATAAACCAAAGTACTAGACTCCTTGCATTCACTGATATTAGTAGACACTACCTTAAGAGCTGAACCCATGTCTTCATTGAGATAGTAAAGACCTCCAGACTCACGACCACTCCCAATCGTTTGCTTCGTCAACCGATCTTGGAAAACACAATGGGTGGGAAAGAATGTTACAACACAATCCAAAGTTTTTGTTATTCTAGAAATTGAAAGTAAGTAGGCAATAAAATTAGGAACATTCAAGGTAGACTTAAGAGAGAGTTTTTCCAAGTTGGATATCCCCTTTCCCATGAATAAGAGATAAAGGGCCATCATCCACCCTTTATCTTGCCCAAAAACCAGATGAGAAGATGAGAATAAGGAAGAGTTGTTGGTCATGTGTTCAGAAGCTCTTGAATCAATAACCCAAGGGTTTGGGAAACAAGACTTTATAGCACTAAGTGCAGAAGTAATACCTGTCTTGGCAAAAGAAAAGGAAGCAATTGAGGATTGTTTCAATCAACCCATAGCCCAATTGAGAATGTCTACCCCTTCAGCTGTGAACTCAGGAAAGATATTTGAAGGAGTAGTGGTCTGTCCCGTACCAGAAGAAACACTAGTAGTTCCAGTTTTATGCATTCCATCCACCATATTTGAGCTTGCTACATGTCTGTGTGCTCTTGGACCTTTGCTTGGCTCCTTATCCTTCTTTAAGGCTGCTGGTTTTAGATGGAACAGAATCCAGCATGTATCTTTGGTGTGTTTCTCTCCACCACAATGAGAACACTTAAGATTTTTCTTGTCTCCCCCATTTTCACTCCTTTGGGTAGCTGAAGCAAGAGCTGAGTGCGCTGTCTGTTGTGTGGACGCCTTAACATTCATCTCTTTCCTTCT